TTAGCTTGTCAAATTGCTAATCTAAATGGTTACACAGCGAGGCAGCGGCATAGGCGAAGCAGACCGAGTCCTTTTCCATACGGAGCTGAGAATAAACTATATCTTCAGCTTCCGTTTATATCGGATCGCTTTACCGCAGTTATACAACAATGCCTAAGAAGAGCAGATTTGGCCAATGATGTCTTCTTGATCAACATACCAAAAGACAACATCAAACACCAGTTGGTCAGGAATCGACTTTACGATCGAATCTGTATCATGGAAAACTGCGTGATCTGCCCGTATGGAAAGGTTGGAGACTGCGCACAACGTTCTGTGGTTTACCAGCTTCAATGTTTGACATGTAACGCTTTGTACATTGGAGAAACTGGCAGACAGTTAGGAGTACGAGTGAGAGAACACCTGGCTAGCAAAAGAAGAGAAAGCTTGATTGCACCGCTTAGCAAGCATAGAAGGGAAGGTCATGCTGGTTGTGAATTTGAAATCAAGTGTACAATACTGGCCTACGAAAACGACATTGGTGCAAGGAAAACCCTCGAAGCTTTCTATATACGGCAACGTAATCCTTGTATGAATAACAGAAACGAATGCATCTCCATAACTGCTGACTTCTTACCCTATATCCCCCTCTGTGAACTAGGATAATGAGAACGTCATGCACTGCACGTACACTCTATATAAGCAATGCACGACTGGTTGTCTCATTTTATTTTACTGTATCTGGAGACCATCAAGGGAAGCTGCTGATCCAGAAGCGGTGACGCTGGTGGAGTCAAGGTAGGTGACACATTCCTGGGGTTTTCACTCCTTGATTCATTAGCTTGGGTGCCACTTGGTCACGAGCGGATAGGTAACAATTTGAATGCCGTATGACGCTTTCAGGCTTTTGATAACGACGAGCTAGTCGAAACGTCAAGCCCAATAAAGATTCCATCGTGCAAAACCTGTGTGGCACAAAAAGATTACACAACTGTTTAACAACCAAATGCCCAGTTTTCAAGAAAGGCGGACTATTTGGGGTGAAATGGGGGGTCGTATTTTGTATTTATTGTAGTAGCGTCAATGTTAGCAGCGGAGATATTTTTTATGAAAGGAGGGCGTATCACCCTGAGGGTTGTTGGCTGGGATTTTGAGTGCCCCCCCCCCCAGAGTTGGGCTGTGTCGACCGGTCTCAGCATCAAATATGTACTATAGAATCGCCCCTATGATGGCTATGGCAGGCGAGGGTGGTGGAGGGGTATATGGTCGTGAGGGGTTAACCCTGAGGAGGGTCGTATCGAGGCCCTTCAGAAAAGGGGAGGGGGGTCGTAAAATTTTCGGAATTGGTCCAACGTGACGGTTGACCCTGCCTCGATCACCTCCTCTGAGCGAGAGAGCGCGATTGACCACGGTCCACCACTTCTCCATGTTGGTGACTGCCCACACATCAATGATGAGCATTAAATTATGTGAAAGACATAATAGTTAATATGGGGGGGGGTCGTACCGATACCCTCCGAAAAGGAAGGGGGTCGTAAAAATTTTGGAATTTGCGCAACGCAGGGTTGACCCTGGGCGTAAATTCGATTTCTTAGCTAGATTCTACCATTCGCCCCATTTCGCCGCTATCATTTTCTGGTCCCCATCAAATATGTTCCCGTCCCACCCCTATATCATATCTGCAAAACAACGCCTCAATGCTGCTGGGCCTTGCGCTGTCAATGTCGTGACATTTTCCTTCCAACGCTTCTTATCAGCCCCTATCAGCTGTTATCACTTTCTGGTCCCCATCAAATATGTTCCCGTCCCCCCTACATCATATTCGGAAGACAACGCCTCACTGCTACTGGGTCGCGCGCCATGCATTTCGTGACTTTGCGTTCTAACGCCCTTATCAGATCTTATCAGTAGTTATCACTTTCTGACCCCCACCAAATATGTTCCCGTCCCACCCCTATATCATATCAAAAATCAACTCCTGACGACTGCTGCGACGCGCGCTATGAATTTCGTGACAAACACACACACAGACCTACACACACGCACAGACATACTTAGCGAATTATATATAGTAGGATGGTAAGTGCTGATAGAGCGACTATGCTAATCGTATTGAATATCCAAAGCATATACGGCCGCTAGGCCATAAAAAATTTCTCAAAAATAGCTGATGTTCATGGGATTGATGAACTACAGGAAATGACTACTTTAACGTTAGCCCTATAGTAACCATTTATTGATAACATCAGCCAGACCCATTAAAACCACACATGTTGTTGGATATAGGAGCCCGACTATGCGCCATTCTGCTGGAGCCTACTTTGACATGCGCGCGATAGCGAGTGCAACCAAATTGGTATTTTATAATTTCATAATTTTTATGTGGTTTCAAGAGAACCAAGAGATCGGAAAGAAGCTTAAATGTGAAAATGTTCAAGTGATAAGAACTATGAGAGAGCTTGTATTCGGTAGCGTAGGTTGGCGCAGCTCAGATGAAAAGCTGGCAGTTTCGACCAACTCGCAAGAGAAAATGGTAAAAATGGGAAAAGAACGAGAAGTCAATGTTAAAAATTTTAGTTGCCCTTCCGAGCTTCACTGGATCCTCTCGTGACGCACACATCAGCGTGCGGAGCTAAATTCATGAATAGAGAAGATCAATGCAGACATCAGTAGTTAATTGATACAGAGCATCGTCTGCGAATGTAGCGGAGATGAGGATGTCGTTTTGCCGGTATCACCCCTCTCGTACATCCTAAAAGATGCTGCTTAATTCCATTTTATTTTGGTCTGTGGATCGATTAGGAAGTCAAATGTGACTCGATGAGATTTCAACAGTTGCGAGAATGGAGCTGAGAAACTGAAGGTAAGATTCTCGCTTGTTGATTTCAGCTGAGGTTAGCGATAACATAGTGTCCACAATGAGGCACTTTTATCCGTGTGTCACTACATTCACTGTATTGTACAGTGTGGAAAAAAATTACGGGTCTTGCGTTTTTGACAAACACGAAAGCATAACATCATAAACACTAGGAGTTTTGATGTGTTTTCAATGCATTCATTTTTATAACTCATTATTCCATCTTGGATTTCATCACCTGCTCACGGAAATGTATACTCACATTAAACATAAAACAATAAATAAACATAAAACATATCAATTCCTATCAATTTTTGAAAAAAATATGCGTCCACCCACGATGCGCAGATTGTTCTTTGCCTGTAACCCATTCTGCGTTTAAACGTATGGTGATTTTAGTAGGGACGACTAAACCAAGAAAGTTTGCAATTCAATCAATGTTACTATAATTAACAAAATTGCGGTCTCCTGGGACCGCGTGGCCCACCGGTGGCCACATGCGTGTCTGGCGTGCGGTCCCACACGCTAGACACGTTTAGAGCGCGCGGTCGTCAAAGGGTTAAAATTTTTAGTTGCCCTTCCGAGCTTCACTGGATCCTCTCGTGACGCACACATCAGCGTGCGGAGCTAAATTCATGAATAGAGAAGATCAATGCAGACATCAGTAGTTAATTGATACAGAGCATCGTCTGCGAATGTAGCGGAGATGAGGATGTCGTTTTGCCGGTATCACCCCTCTCGTACATCCTAAAAGATGCTGCTTAATTCCATTTTATTTTGGTCTGTGGATCGATTAGGAAGTCAAATGTGACTCGATGAGATTTCAACAGTTGCGAGAATGGAGCTGAGAAACTGAAGGTAAGATTCTCGCTTGTTGATTTCAGCTGAGGTTAGCGATAACATAGTGTCCACAATGAGGCACTTTTATCCGTGTGTCACTACATTCACTGTATTGTACAGTGTGGAAAAAAATTACGGGTCTTGCGTTTTTGACAAACACGAAAGCATAACATCATAAACACTAGGAGTTTTGATGTGTTTTCAATGCATTCATTTTTATAACTCATTATTCCATCTTAGGATTTCATCACCTGCTCACGGAAATGTATACTCACAATAAACATAAAACAATAAATAAACATAAAACATATCAATTCCTATCAATTTTTGAAAAATATGCGTCCACCCACGATGCGCAGATTGTTCAAAAATTGATGTCAGCAGAATATCTAGAATCCATTATTTTATTAATGAAAGAAACATAGCCCTCAACTCGAGCCCTATGAAATACCCTGTGTCGAGTGTGCCAAAGTCAAACCACTGTTACATAGTGGGGACATCGATTAATGAGCAGTCGCTTCTGAGAGCCTTGAAATTACTTGGCAGCACCTTCCTACACAACAGGGTTGACGACTTTCTAGAAACTCTTCATCTATGTGTCAACGTAAAAGCGGCCACTCCAAGGAATAATATTGTTCCTAATCAAAAACCTTCCACCAGCATGGTGGTTTTAATAATTTAGGATTTCTCTGTTACATTCCGTTTCGTGACCAATTTATGTTGTTGCCGTAATTTTTGTCCACCTTGTGTAATCCAACTGCCTGTTACGTTGGGTTCGTACCAAGAGTAACCAACTCATAACAAAATCTTTAATTAATTACAGGCACTGGTCGGGATTACAGGAACCCGCTCTGTCAATTCTACGGCTGGGTTTGCAACCGTGGAGGTGATGCTTCGCTCGTGACTCGAAACCGCGCGGCTATCACAACCCTAGCCTAGCATTTAGGACGACGTGAGCTATGACCGCTCAGAGCCGGAAGTAGTGGTGCCTGGCATAAGCCGTAAAATCAGCTGGGTTTATTGCCGTGTCGGCTGCTTTCACGTAGCTATTATGGTTAGCATATACGAAAACTTGTTGGGACATGCATACCTCTTAAGCCAACCTCCTCTGCCGTTGTTGGAAGAGGGGAGGATTTGTTTTTGGTCTTCTGGACGACTCTTCCCGTTTTTTCTTACAGGCGCTCCACTTCGCACTTTTGCACTCACTTTCGAGCGCCAAAATACCTAAGCTCGATCCCGCCCCGTGCCTTTAGCCTTTATGCGACATTCGACTGAAACAGTGGCCAATGAAATATATATCGTGAAACTTTTTAGAGACACTCACCACTGTAGCACAAACGATCATTTTATCTCGTTTCTTAGGATGTGGACTACGCGTGATTTTTATTCGGAAAGTCTCTTTCGGCTCAATTATACCAAACACTGGTCGGAACCTTCAAAAAAATTTTAAATAAGGATAATTATTTTGGGAAAGGAGTGGGAATGTATACTCACAAGAAGAGTCTATTGTCGGTACATTGAACCTTGAAGGCGATTCGAACCGGCATCGAACTTGTAATGCGCAAACTCTGTTGGTAAGCAAATGGGTAGTAAGTAAATGCAGTGTATCAGCGGAGGTCGAGAATTACTCTGGTCAATCAACCGCGTATATGAAGATTTCGTTTGAAACGGTTTATAATTCAGAATAGGTAATCTGAATTATCTATGGCCGACGATTATTTGAATTCATGATCAAGGTCACAGCTAAGTTTCCTACAAGGCACAGAGCCTAGAGTGATGATTCTGGTAGAAAGCCAAATACTTGATAAGAACAAAACCCATTTTATGTCTACTTCATCGCGTTTCATCGTATCAAACCCCACCCGACCCTTATATCCAAAGTTCTTATGATGATGTATGGTAGATGTTTAACACCTTGGCGACAGCGCAGCAACTAGGTAAGCTGCCATTTTTGCACCTCCTCGGACATTGTGACGACTATGTATGCCACACCCATTACATTTATTTTTCGCGCACATGCGATT